GGCCAAAATGTATTCTGCTACATGTCCTTGCTAACAACAAAATCCCATTACATGTACATTAATTGATTGAAGTTATAGCATCTACAAATGGTGGTATATATACTAGAATTTTTATTTTTATATATATACTAGTAATGCTGGCGATCAGCAACTTATAGCGGGACTGCAGGACTGTGATGGGCATTCTGACACTGGGGGGGAGCTGACTAGCTGCCACTGACATCCCCAGTGACACTAATACAGTGATCAGAGCTAATAAAAAAGCACTGACACGGTACTAATGACACTGGGCAGGAAGGGGTTAACATATGGGGTGATCAAAGGGTTAACTGTGTGCCATGTTTTACATTATGTGCTGTGTGTGTGTTTTACTATGGAGACATTCTGTTGTGTATTGCTTTGCTGTGCAGAGCAATACAAAGCAGTCTGTTCATGCTGACAGGGGAGAGATCTGTGTTGTTCACACACAGACCTCTCCCCTGTCACTGTTCTTCAGCAATCGCTGGGAGCCAGCAGGGAATTTCCGACCTGATCGACAGCTGTGATCATCAGCTGTAGTCGCCAATGGTGGCACTGGTAGGGCGGTACGCGCACACCCCCTACCCAGAGATGCAAAACCACGTATATATATGTAATTTTGTGCAGCCCTGCCTCCCTGTAGCAGTAGTTCTGCTATAGGGAGGTTGGGAAGCGGTTAATGGTTTTCACTGGAAACAAAAGTAGATATTACTGATGGCAAAATATATGGCTCCAATCTCAAATCGTACAGTAAATGCCTCTAGTTGAGCTCTTTCACACAACACTTCTTGGCCCTCCAACTAAATTTTTTGCTACCCCACCTAAGCCTGAGGGCCCATTCACAACCACTGCATCTCAGGAATACACATTGGTGCATTGTGTTGCCATTCCTAATGCCTTCCACTGTAGGCTTTTTAGCCTCTAAAGGTCTGTAAGTGCATCATTAGATATAAATGCACCATCTGTGCTCTCTTCGGCTTATCTACAGTACTGCTAAACTATTCCAAGGTCCCTCTGGAGATTTTAGCACCATATACCATCCCTTGGTGAACTGGCTGAATATAGCTACCAAGTGTCCCTCATCCAAAGCGGTTGTGCCTCTTTTGGACCGAAATCTCTTCCTCAGTTGTCCCTTTTAATGGTCTAATACAGGAGCCTCCAAACTTTCTAAACAAAGAGCCAGATTATTGTCCTTTGGACTTCAGTGGGGCCGGATTGTGGCCAGTAGGAGTAGAAAATAAACCAGTGTCTGCAGGATTAAACAATGCCCCAGGCTTGGTTGTCAGTGGGAGAACTAATAAATGACATAGCACCTGTGGTGAGCAAGAAAAGTAATAGTGCCCCATCATTGGTATTGGTGCTAGCAATAGTGCCCCATCATTAGGAGGAATAGTGCCCCACTATTGGTGTCAGTGGGAGGAATAGTGCCCCATTGTTGGTATCAGTGAAAGGAATAGTTTCCCATCGTTGGTGTCAGTGGGAAGACTAGTACCCCACTGTTGGTATCAGTGGAAGGAATAATTCCCTATCATTGGTGTCAGTGGGAAGACTAGTACCCCACTGTTGGTATCAGTGAAAGGAATAGTTTCCCTATCGTTGGTGTCAGTGGGAAGACTAGTACCCCACTGTTGGTATCAGTAGAAGGAATAATTCCCTATCGTTGGTGTCAGTGGGAAGACTAGTACCCCATTGTTGGTATCAGTGGAAGGAATAGTGCCCTATATTTCGTGTCAGTGGGAGGAATAGTGTTTCATCATCGGTGTCAGTGGAAGGACTGGTGGAAGCACCAGTCTAGGTGCTGCTGTACAGGACATTACAGAAGATTTATTCTAAATCAAATTTAGAAACGTATACTAGTTGCAGTTATGATACTTTTTTTCATGTAACGCATAATAGCATCATTTGATTCTGCTTCTGTCTGAAATTCAGCTTTAAATATTTACTTGAAAGTTTGGCCTCTGGATTGCTTTTCAGACCCAGTTAATAGGCTTTAGGGGGTGATATGCTGCCTTCAGAATGCCTGTTTTTATATCCCCAAGAGGGATTTTACAATGAGATCCCACTTGACCGTGTGCCTCAGATGTTGTGGCGCAGTCAGGGCCATCTTTAATAATGTTCAGACCCTGGGCAAACATCTTCTTGCCCTCCACCCATGGAATTTCGCTCTACTCCTGCTCTGAAACATACAATAAATGACAGCTAATCTCAAAATCAGTTTACTGCAGCAGATCAGGCAGCAATTGATTGCAGGAGGTTACAGCATATCTTTACTGCTCACTGGCTGGTTACTAGAGGCTACAGCACACATTATGGCTCACTAATTAGCTGCTAAAGATTACAGCACATGATTTATGCTTGCTGATTGGTTGCTAGAGGTTACTGCACATTATTACCACGCGCTGATTGGTTTTTAGACGTTACTACACATCATTACCACTTACTCATTGGTTGCTAGAAGTTGCTGCACATCCTTAATTACATCTCAATGATTAGTTGCTGAAGGTTACAGCACATCTTCTCTTCACTGCCTGCACACCATGGACTGAGAAGGTTAGTGGTCCCACCAATAAGCAGAAAACTCCTAGGATTCCTGGCATCAATGGCAGTACTGGGGAGGGAGGAAATGATCAGTGGCAGTGCTGGGGGGAGGATTGATGGGATCAGTGGCAGTGGTGGGGGGTGGGATCAGTGGCAGTGCTGGATGTGGATGGGAGGTGACATTTCTGCACCGACCACCAATATTAGCGGGGATTAACACTGATGACCAATGTTAGGTGGATTTACAGTAACCACCAGTGTAAAGGCAATTCTGCACTTACCATCAGTGTAAAGGGAAATTTACACTAGCCACCAATGGAATGAGGAATTGGCACTGGCCACCAATGTAACAAAGAATTTACACTGACAACCACTGTAATGGGGAATTTTTCACCAAGAACCAATACATTTCTACGCTGGCCACCAATGTAAGGGGGAATTTACACTGCCCACCAGCAGAGGTGTTGGTGACTGGAACCTCTGAAGGCATAATATACATATGAATGTCGAGGCTATTTGCAAATCAATGCCACATTGCTGCTGCTATTTACATATGAATACCACACTGCTGCCACTATTTACATATGAATGCTGCCATCATTTAGATGCGAATGCTGACATGGTCTGCACACCTGAGTCATCTGTACATGGCAATAGGACAGAGCTGGGCAGCATGAGTGACAGCACTTCACACTGAGATATCAGAGCCAGGGGCGTATTTACCATAAGGCAAACAAAGCATTTGCCTAGGGGGGCATTATTTCAGGGGGGAAGTGGCATTTTTCAGGGGGGCATCGCTGACCCCGAAAGAAGGGATGGAAGAAAGGACACACACAGCATGAGCACCAAGTGGGATCTGAGAGAGGCTGAGGGCTGCTTGATGGTGTATATAGAGCCTGACTCTTGTTCCCGGGGATGTACGGAGCTGTGAAGGTGAGTGTCTTCTCTCTCACCAGGGTGGGAGGGGTTGCCAGTGCATGGGGGGCGGTGGTAGTGGAAGGCTTTCTCAGGTGGGGTGTTGTTGGTCAATGTCAGGCTCTTACTGTGGGGGAGGGGGGTGTTTGTCAGTGCTAGGATCTCTCCGTGGGGGGGCGATTTTTGTGTTGCCTAGAGCAGATCAAATCCTAAATACACCACTCATCGGAGCCCAGGACAAAGACTTCAAGGGACAAGGGAATGTAAACCAGTGCAGTTGACAAGTATGGGCAGCTGCTTTGGGTCCCACAGCAATGACTGGGCCCACAGGATTCTAACCATTTTGCCCCTCCTTAAAGATGGCCCTGAGCACAGTACTATTGACTTGAATAAAGCACAGCTGACAAACATCACCACCACCCGTGACATGCTATATAAAATTTGTCGCACTGCAAAGTGACTGTGGCAATGTATACAAAGATGTCTGTCGGCCCTGTTAACTTGCCGGTAGGTGGTTGGGTGGCGTGGTAAGAGCGCAGAAAATCGTCTGCGTTTATCATCTATCCTCCACATTTGTGAACAAGGCCTTAAAGTCATTCAGATTTAGCACAGCTTTTAAAAGATGCTTTTGATACAATCCAGTATAAAAACCTCTGCTTCTGTCTACATCACTCTTGGGATCTAATGTATGCATGCAGAGATCATTTAATCATGATGAGCTCAATGCAGACTGAATGTTCTCCACAATGACTTGGTATACGTTGAATCGCCTATACGCACACTTATGATCTCCCAGAATGACCACCAGATGGCAGACTAGCATAGCGCATGGCTGGAAAGAGATGCATTTAGCTCTGCCAGAGAAGGTAATTCTCTGCAATTACAATGACAAAAACATTAGAAAAGAAATATTAATAGGATTTTAGCTGTGTAGACATTATTTAACCCTTTTGCTGCATTATGGTGCAATAAACTGTGTTACATATATTCCGAAAACATATTATGACAGCTGATGGAATTGTATGCGTGTTCATTCTACTTCCCTACACCAATAAATCAGGAGGTATGAGCAAATGTGGACAAGGTAATAGAGGTAATGCCAAAGACTCTGCGCTCATTACAATCTAATACCATCAACTGCTGGCTTTTCAACTGGGGTGCTGCGAAGAGTCTCTAATGTTGTCTAATGTGGGGGAAGACACTCCAGGGGTCAGATATGGGGGTGCAAAGACAGCAGCAGGCCAGAAAGCCAGGGAAACCCCAAGAGACTTGGTTCCCAATATAAATGGCAAACGTTGAAAAGCCAATAAGGGCCTAGATAGACATTTATGTACAGGCTGAGGCAGGGCTTAAAATTTAAAGTCCAGAGCTACTAGCCAGGCCTTAAGAGTTACTCACCACCAACAAACACACACAGACAAACATGTACGTACGTACATGCATACATACACACACACGCACAGAGACGCATGTACACACACCACACATACAGACACATGTATACACACATAGGCACGTACAGATACGCATACACACAGATACATGTACATACACAGAAATACACACACACAGACACGTGTACATACACACACATACAGACATATGTACATGCATACACAGACACATGTACGTACACACACACACACACAGACAGCTGTACATACACGCAGACACATGTACAGATACACACATGTACATATACTCAGACACATGAACATGCAGACACACACACATACCTCTATAAAAAGTTGCAGTACTTCGTTGTTCACTCACAGAGCCGGGTACTGCACTCTAGGGGGAGGCAGAGAGCACAGCACACACTCCTTCCTTTGCTTTCACTGCACTCAGCTATTGAGCAGTTTGATGGCTCCCAGTGCCAATGACAGATCCGGCCTGAGCTCCGAGCCTGCTCAGCAAGACGGCCCTGGGGGACACACTCGCCCCCCCCACCATAATCTCCACTCGCTATTGGCGAGAAGGCGAGTGGAAATTTCAAGGCCTGGGCTGAGGATACCGCTTTCTACTAAGTAATGTCTTCCCCCCACCTTGGATTCAGAGGAGGCTTTCCCCTGTGTGATTGAAGGGTCCACTGCTGTCTGGTGCATAATGATCTATTTTGTAAGTGCTAACTTCTAACAATTTTACAATGCTTAATTGTGTTTGATGTTCATGTTTTTCTGTTTGTCTAAGTATACGTATCTCTTTTAGATATATAATTAGTTCCTGAGGAAGCGACTGTCATCACGAAATATGTCGGGCATTCTCTTCAGTCTTTGAATGTTCCTTGCCGCCTCCACAGGATTACTTTGGTGGTAACTTCTACGCTGTATCACTGGTTGTCAACCTTTTGAATATGCTTTGGGACATTCATTGCGGGTACACTGTACAACAATATTTTATCCAAAATTGTCTATATGTGATGTGATGTTAAATAAAGGAACATTGATCCTAATTTTCTGCATATTTAGTCTCTGCTTATAAAGTCCATTTATACAATCTCCTTTTTTTTTATAAATAGGGCAGGGAGGTGTCTGTGGTCCAGGCCTCCAGGCCTGGGGGAGGGGGAAACATTACTTCCCCATAGATATAGTATATGATGATCAAGCATTGTCAGTGTGGATCACCGGGTGAAAAATAGCCAGGAAAAAAAAGAGAGAGCTTGAAACAAAGCTAACTAAACAAAATGCAGCACAGAAAGGTATCCATTGCACAGGGGTTATAAGCGTGCGCTACATGCGCTGATCCATTGCACAGGGGCCATGCTAATCTTCTCTGTATTGTTCCAATTTTTAGTATATGTGCTGATGAAGCACATATGTTGCATATATATATATCCAAAATGGAAAAGAAAAAAAAAAACACATTTTACCTTTAGTTACACTTTAAGAAAGTGTATATACTAACAAGGACAATAGCCATGGGGTCATTTTATCTACAGCACATGACACATTATCATAATCAGTAGGTTGTGGAAAGTTTTAAATAAAAACAAACTTTTATAAGGTTTTTTAGCATGCAGTTTACCTAACAACACCCCCTGCTCGGTATGATAATAATATTTTTATATTTAAATAAATATTGATAATGGTCAAGAATACACTAGTGGGCAGTGGATAAGTGGCCCTTACATTGGTAGTGATTGAATAAATGCCTCCTTACATTGCTGGTCAATGTAGTTCCCCTTTGCATTGCTGGTGAGTAGAATGCCCCTTTACACTGGCAGTCAGTGTGGAAGTGTACCTTTACATTGGATAATAGTGAAAATTTGCCCTCTCACATTGGGGGTCACTGTAGAAAGGATATGAATTACCACTACTTAAGGGACCCTTAGCAACCTCTGGAGGAACTCTAGTTGAGAAAGTCTGTGTTACATTACATGTACTGCCCCCTACCAACCATCATTATCTTACATTTTGCTGTCCTAAGCTGCACTAAAGATAGAAAAAAAACAATCTGGTTGCTATGTAGGGCATTGATTACCAGAGACCATTCTTACCTTGAAAAACAAGACCTTATAACACTAAAATAACAAAGGCTTGAAACCGACATTATCAGTCTATTTGCTAATACCTTTCTGGATCATGTCCTGACACCTCCTTTCCAGCACTCTATGCTTACCTTTTTGCTCTCTGTTCATCTGTTCTAACATTGTATAATTTTCAGGGGTTACCGTTTACAATATGACCCCTTTCCTGGTCTTCTGTGAAGAATACATTTTCTGATATTGTCTCCTGAACTCCCCAATGGCCAAGGTGAGAAAGAGCAGGTCATTGGTGGCACAGTAAATAAAAACAGGTGCTACGATTAAAAATATTAAGGAGGTCTGTTCCAATTTCTGCCTGTGGTGGGTTGAGTTCTCATTTCCACACACTGGAAGTCCCCCACGATACTGACCATTTGAGAGTGGGTTACTGAATTATAATTCAGAATGTGAATGGAAGAGTTACTGGCCATTACCAATGAAAACATCTCCACATTTTCCAGACTTTTCATGACTTTTCGCATTTTCTTATTCCCCTCAAATATTGCCATTTCTTAGGAATTAGGCTTGTGACAATTTTCTTTGAGACCAGATAGATGGACACTTCCATCAAACGCTCTATTTATTTATTTTTTTTTTTCTTTCTTTCTTTTCTCTTTTCTTCTCCACTGTCTCTCCTTCGCCTTTTCTCTAGGAGTCTTTCATTCCCAACTTTATACTTGGAAAAGTGGCAATATACAACAATTTTTTCCTTGCATGGAATGGCATCCCATGTTTTGCTGGCTCGAAGCCCCGCATTGGCGCTAGGCCTGATTCTCGTTTTTCATACCCTTAGATTCCAAATGAGAGGCCAAGCCATTCTTTTTTTGGCTGATGTTTGGCCTGTGTGTACCGGCTTAACATAAATACTGATATTGTTGTAGGACTGTGCTTACGACTTTGTATATATGCCACATTTTTCCAAGAAAAAAAGCAGGTGTATCAATTGGGGTATTGATAGGGTTCTAAAAGATGAGGTGCTCTCCAGGGCTCCCTCAGAAAATAAGAACACTTTACATGCCATGGCAATTTTTGGGTGTGACCAAAATATAAGTCTAGTTTAAAAGGACATGGTTAAGTGTTACTAAACCCACAACAGTAAAATCAATCTGTATGTGCAGTAAACCATGCTTGTTATACTCAAGGGGGAACCTAAGGAGTTAATCCTCTGCATTGTGTAAAAAGGCTGTTTGATCCTTTCTTCTCTGATCCTCCCCTTCTTCTATTGTCACCAAACCTCTCTGATCCTTCCCTTCTTCTACTGTCTACAATCCATCTGCTGATAGTACAGAGCCCTAGGAGGCACTAGAAAATGCTCAGTTTGGTGTGTATTGCTAGAGCTCTAGAGAGGGTTTTTTTTTTGGGGGGAGGGTGCATATGATCAGGGGAGGGCCAATCAGCACTGTCCAGACAAAGGTTAAAGGGTAATGCAGCCTCATAGGACAGTCAGAGGAGAAAAAACTTCTCCTACAAACTTTAACCAGTGCTTCGCTGTACACTGATAGAAGTCAGAAGGCTTCTCTAACTGCTGATGAGAAAAGGTATTTAGCAGTTTATAGTTACTAAAATAATTGCATTTCCATGTTCTGTATGCTGTGCGAGACCAGATATAGAGCATGTAGGGTCCTGGGTTTAGTAACATTTTAAACATTGCCCAAGATTCTACCCATCCACACTGCAGAGGTTGTGCTTATAAGCCCCATGACTTACCATACCCAAGTAATATGCCGTAATCAAGATAAACTCACTAACTAAATCACATTCTACAGAGTCTCATACATCTTTAGAAAATGGAGAAGACTGAAGACAAAATCCTTGTGTTATATACGATAACCACTGTTACACAACGTGGTAATTCAAAAAGTTAGACAATGAAAATACTTGCATCATTCATTGAACACAGTACTCAGAGTTGCACAAATTAAATACTAATTATGTCTCCTGTCAAAAGTCAATACTATATTTATAGGTTCTTATAAAAACAGTTATAATTGTAAAATGTAAAACATTAATCGGGTAATACTACACAATTGAAATATAATTTACTCAAACTGTTAGTGGTATAATTGATTTTATACATTCCCAAATGTTGATAGTGTATGAATTAGAAACTAAAATTAAATGCTAAAAAAATCATATTATATACAAGGGGCATTCAAGTCAAACTGGGACTTCTAAGTTTATATAATAAAAGAATACATTTCAAGGAATGTAAATGGCATTTATTTTTCAACATACTCTCCTGTCACATTTATACACTTATCCCAGCGTTTAAATAACAACTAGAAAACTTCAGCATAGAAAGATTTGTCAGTATGTCTGAACCATCCTACAGGACAATTTTATGGTACAGTTCATAGAGTCCCTACTAGGAATGATGCTCTGCTGGACCTGGTAATCTCAAACCATGCAGATCTTATTACGAATGTCCATATAAAAGAACATCAGGGTAGCAGTGGCCATAACATGATTTCATTTATTGTTAGATGTAAACAGCAAGCACATACGGGAAAAATAAAATTGCTCAATTTCAAGAGAGCTAATTTTCCAAGGCTGAGAGCTGCTCTCCAAGACTTAGACTGGAAGGGAATATTGGCATTGATGAACACAACACAGAAATGGGAGTTCTTCAAAAAGACTGTACGTGAACACACTGCAAAATATATTCCCATGGGCAACAAGTTTAAAAGACAAAAAAATCAAACCTATGTGGCTTACGGCCAAAGTTAAAAAGGATATAGATAAGAGAAGAGCTTTTATTAAATGTAAAAATGAAGGAACGCTATCATCGTTTAAACATTACAAAGAATATAACAGATTGCAAAAGATAGCAGGACCAACTCCAAAAAATTCTTCAAATATATTAATAGTAAAAAGGTTCGGTCCAAGCATGTAGGCCCTTTACAAAATCATCTAGAGTGGGTGACTGGGGACAAAGAGAAGGCAAATTTATTTAACACCTTCTTCAGCTCTGTGTATACGAAGGAGCATAGGGGAGCTCTTGTACATAATGGGCATGGTATTGACACAGCTCCAGATGATCCACATTGGCTCACAATTAATATGATCCAAAAATATTTAGACAGTATAAAGGTGAATAAAGCACCTGGACCGGATTGGCATACACCCACAGGTCCTTAAAGAATCATTTCAAAGCCATTGTTTCTAATGTTTAGGGACTCTTTAATGACTGGCATAGTACCACTGGATTGGTGTAAGGCCAATGTGGTGCCAATATTTAAAAAAGGGTCAAAATCTTTACCAAGTAATTATAGACCTTTTAGTTTAACTTCTATAGTAGGGAAAATACTGGAGAGTTTAATAAATGACCACATAGCGTAGATGAGTTCTTGCTGCAAAAAAAAATATTTTAAACAACAGACAGCATGGATTCATGAAAGACAGAAGTTGTCAAACAAATCTGATTTCTTTTTATGAGGGGGTGAGCAAGACCTTGGACAGAGGGGTGGCGGTGGACATGGTATACTGGGATTTTGCAA